CTGCACAAAGTGAGAATAGTATAACACCCATATCCACAGTAGGCCTTGAAACAAACAGGAAGGCCAACAAGAAACGTTCACGACGTCGCAAGACGACGAAAACGTTCCCCAAAAAGGCAGACGATTGCAAGGTATGCAATTCTGTTGTCGAACAAGTAGACTCTGCTTTCGAATGCAACTTTTGCAAGCAATGGGTACATTGTAGATGTGACACCGGGGTACCAAAAGAATACTACGATTTTATGCGTAAGAACCCATGCCCATGGTTCTGGTACATATGCCCAAGTTGCCATCCTGATGCAGCCTCGTGTGGTTCCTCGAAAGCTAAAGATGGCATAGAGGTATCAGGGAAAAACGTGAAACGTTCTCCTCCCGCCAACTCAGAAAACAGCACAATTGCACGTAAATCGGGGATACCAAAATCCACACCGGTTATGCTTGCAATTCCTGCCATAACTGCCCCAGACAAAGAGGTTGAAGCACCAAGGGTATCTGTCGCTGGGAAAAGACCCTTACCGTCCACCAGTAATAGTGGCCACGGCACTGCGACACACATTAATACCCAGTCGCATCAGACGAAACAAAACGGTCTTAATGGTGATGACGAATGCGCGAGGACCGAACCTAAATCCACGGTTAGTAGATCAAACTGCGTAATCCTCTTTAATATACCAGACTGTAGCAGCAGTCTGATGGAAAACAGGGCTCTGTTTGATCAAGAACAGTGGTCCAACTTATGTAGTACACTGGGTCTGGACATCCAACCAGTGAAACTATGCAGACTGTATAGGGGCACTGCTGCTCCTCAAGGCAAACCATCCCCACTGAGGGTAACACTGGGCTCTACCGAGGATGCCGAAAAAGTTTTACTGACTTCCCAAGTCCTTTCTATAGGGAGGACCTGCAATATACGTGTTAGGCCAGATAGGCCATGGAAGGAAAGACAGATGGCGAGCTTATTCCTTCTGCCTCCATGGTTATTCACGGCATTCCCGAACTGGTAACTGGGAACGCTTGTGAGAAGCACTGTCACGATGTACGGCAATGGAGATGGTTGGCATCCCAGATGGCTCTGGGAAGTTCAGGGGCCGTCTCTATTTATAGACTGCCTCGACCCACTCACCTTGTGTCAATTAAGACGCCACGTCTGTTAGCTGTCAAGTTCAGCTCCCAAGACCACTTGACTACTGCTCTCCAGAGATGGTACGAGACCAAGGACAAGGTCAGCAGACACATTCGCTGCTGCGAGAGCCGGCCTCGTACCCAAAGGAGAGAACAAAACGTTGTCATAGAACATCCCCAAACCCTAGTCACAATATAGCGGTGCAGCACGGACGATGATAGCCAGTGTCATCCAAGTGCTCCGATTGAACTAGAAGAGAAAAACGCCAACAGGCCGGTTCCCGGAGAATCGGCCAATTAGTTCGTAGGATAACTCCTCAACCGACAGCCCACATCACGTCAACCACCCCCCAATACGGGGACGTGGTGAGACTGACTACCAGTTGCCTGTACAGTAATGTGAGAGGGCTAAGAGGCAAAATAGCTGAACTTAGATACCTACAATCACAGCTGAACTCCAAAATCATAATACTGACGGAAACCTGGCTAACCCCTACGGTGGCAGACAGCGAAGTCAGTATAAATGATATGGTCCTAGTCAGGTGAGATAGGGACCTGAAAGAAGGAGGTGGAGTCGCCATATACGTCGACAAACAGCTCAGATGTGTCCATGCAATGGACCCTCCCCTCATTGAGCTCCCTGACTCCATATGGTGCCATTTCACTGTTGGGTACTGTAAATATCTAGTGGGCAGCATTTATAGATCACCTTCATGTGGAGCAGACCACAACCAGGTACTGCTGAATTCAATTTCAGCGACACAAGACATGGGTTATGATCAAGTCGTCATAGCTGGCGACTTCAATGCCCCATCTCTTAACTTGATGACGGGATATGCCCATGATAGATTTGATCGAAATCTACTGCGTACCATCAGGGAGGCTGGATTCACTGAAAATGTCAGAATGGATACTAGATGGGGCCCAGATGAGAAGTCTTCTAGACTGGATTATGTGCTCACTAGTGACCGGATACTGGTGGAAAACGTTCAGATCACGACTCATATAGGAAGTAGTGACCACGCGGTCATAACATTCGACATAGTCCTCCGCGAGCGTTTACAGTGGGACAATACACAGCACTATCTGTGTTATAACAACGCCAATTACACCAAAATGCGAAGACTTTTGTCTGAAGCGAATTGGCCAAAAAATTGGACAGAGCTTACAGTAGAAGAGTGGTAAAGGAGATCATTCACCAGGCGGTCTCAGACACTGTTCCTTTAGTCACACCAAAAGCTAGAAAGCCACGTTAATGGCTAAAAGGGGGGACACAACGCCTTCTGTAGGCGGAGCGAAAAGCCTGGTTTGCGTGGCGACTATCGAAGAGTCAACCCAAACATGAAGTGTAACTTGAACTCAGGAATCGATGTAACATACGAGTCCGGAGTGATAGAAGGACATTTCAGAGAAATCTCGCCAATAAGCTTCTCGTGAATCCCGAAAGCCTATACAGGTTTATGTCTGAAAGGAAACCGACCAACCAGAGAGCTTGCAATCTAGTGGGTTCTGATGATAAATCTCTTACTAGTCTTGAAATTGCAGAGACATTCAGTCTAGCCTTTCACAGGCAACTGAACAGTAACCACGACCCGTCCTGTCTTCTCTCACTGTACCGACTACTCTATCTTTTCTTTGGTCACCTTTATTATTTCACTTATCTCAACCTATATTATCCACACTACAACCTATTATTATTACTATTCTACTTTTATGACTACACCGAATCACCAACGGGTGTTAGGTCAAACTCCATTCACGGCAGCAACTGAGGCCTAACTTACTGCACACTACAAGCCACATCCTGACCAATCCTCGCACCACTCCCCTTGGAGTCTACCAGAGCTAAAGCAGTCGAGTGGCGGGATTTACTATGCATAAGTTCACCGAAGATCTGGAACCTCTACCTTACAATCAAGAAGCGAGCTCGAAGAAATCACTGGTTTATACTAGCTCGTAATCAGGATATTGGATATTGGATGTCCATAAAGCGAGAATCGATTATTAAAAGATGGATTTTATTGTTGCGTGAGGGAATTGACTTCAAGCTTTATTTATTTTCCCAAGTATCTGTAATCCAGCCAACACAGACTTCGGCTTTTTGTTAATGCGAAGACAATATCTCTATATTTCTTGATGTGGTCCATTGAATCACTAGTTATCAGATTTTTCCCACAAACTAAAGACAAGATGACAGAAACCATGTAATTTAACCTTAAATCATGTAATTTGAATATGTAATTTAAATAATACTTATCCATGCCTGTACAATTGGTGTGTCATACATATGTAGGAATAAATCTGTACCTTATTATGTTGTCACTACTAACTATGTTTACTAATCGTGTGTGTAATTTATCGAATTGATGATGCCTGTAAACTGGCGTCCCTCATGTACAAGAATGAGAATATATTATTATTATTATCATTATAACTGATGCCTTCTACCTCTATGTTAGCACACGGTGTTCCCGAGCTGGAAACTGCCACTGTTTGTAAAAAGCACATGCATGACGTGCAGCAATGGAGATGGCTGTCATCTCAGACGACCTTTGGCGCTTCTGGAGCAGTTTCCATTCTCCAACTACCTCGCCCGCACATCTGACACTGATTAGTTCTCCAAAGCTGATAAGTGTCAAATTCAACTCCCAGAAGTAGTTGGCCATAGTACTTCAACGGTGGTATGAGACTAAGGAAAAAATGCAAGGACACATCCGATGCTGCGAAAGCAGACCTCGAACCATAACGGGGCAGCAAACTGAAGCCTTAACACGTCCCCAAGCCTCAGTGACACTAGAGCGATTAGGTACTGAGAATAACAGTCCGTCACCCAAGTGTCCTACATGAATCCATGGGAAAAAGCTTCAAAGGGCCGGTTCCATCGGAATCGGTCAACTAGTCCTAACATGAAGTCCTTTACCAGCAGACAACTTAACGTCAACTACCCCATACCACGCTGAGGTTGTGGGACTCACTTTCAGCTGCTTATATAGCAATGTGAGAGGACTGAGAGGAGAAGTAGTGAACTCAAATCTCCAGTCACACCTATACCCTAAAATAATCATTCTCACCGAAACCTGGCTAACGCCCACTATCGCCGACAACGAGATCGGTACAGCCGATATGGTCCTGGTCAGGAGAGACGGGAATTATAAGGAAGGGAGGGAGTTGCTACATACTTTGACAGGCAACTTAAGTGTATGCGCGCAACGGAACCACCACTTATTGTCGTTTTACTTCTTTACATTCTCTCCTGTCTTACTCTCCTGACAACTCTAACTACACCTATTATTATTACTGATATATATATATCAACTTCAAATTTAATCAACTGTCTGTTTTACGTTTTCTTCGTTTTCTATCTGTTAGTCTGAATAACTTCACTAATAATATCTATTATTACTATTATTATTATCTCTTTTCTTTTGACGACGGTACTGGAGGACTAACTGGTGAAAGGATCAACTCCATTCACAGTAGTAGCAGTCTTAACACACCTCATACTACAAACCACATATAGTTAATCCCAGCACTACTCCTTTTGGAGTCAACCAAAGCTACGACAGTCGAGTGGCAGGATGAGCTAAGCAGAAGTTTACCGAAGATCAGGAACCTATACCTCACAATTAAGAGGCGAGCACAAAGAAATCAAATTGGCTTATACTAGCTTGATTTGGATATGCAGACGTAACTCCGCCAGCTAGGGAAGATTGGGTCGAGGCCAGAGATAAAAACCTTCTGTTGGACGTGGTTTTTATTGATCTTAGCAAGGCATTCGACAAAGTATCCCACTTAGGTCTCCTTAGTAAACTTAAAGGTTTCGGACTAGACCAATGCCTATGTGAGTGGTTTAGGGATTACCTAATGGATAGAAGGCAGAAGGTTAGGGTTAACGGTGTACTATCAGGGTGGAAAGCAGTATCCAGTGGAGTGCCCCAGGGAACTGTATTAGGCCCCTTGCTATTCCTATTATACGTTAATGAGCTACCAGGGATTCTTACTTCATCTTCATTGTTATTTGCAGATGACATTAAGATATGGAAAACTGTAAACAATAGCGAGGACAGGTCGGCCCTACAAACTGATCTAGATAAATTAGCGGAGTGGTCGAACCTGTGGAGTTTGAAAATGAATTCTAGGAAAAGCGCAGTAATGCACTTAGGTCAGAAGTCTTATACGTCGTACTCCCTAGGGGACACAGAACTACCTGATGTTAACGAACAGAAGGACCTAGGAATCATTGTCAGCAATGATTTGAAAACAACTGCAAACTGCAATGCAGCCGCAGCTAAGGCTTTTCGAATGCTATGGGCACTCCGTAGGGCTTTCAAACGATTAGATGAGGGCATGTTCCAAATACTCTACGCAACATATGTTAGGCCTCATCTAGAATACTGCGTACAAGCGGCGGGTCCATGCTTCAAAAAGGAGGCATATATCCTGGAAAGAGTACAGAGAGTAGGAACGAAACTAGTTAGTGGTATATCACACCTTCCTTATGATAAGAGGATGGAGCATCTAAATCTCTTTCCGTTATCATACCGAAGGAAGAGAGGCGACCTAATTTTGGCTTACCGTATACTTAAGGGTGATTTAGGAACTGACCTTTCTAAACTTTTCTCTCCTTCTAGGATACATTTACGGGGTCACCGCAAAAAGGTGCTCAAACCGAGGACGATTAAAATACGTGCAGAATTTAGATTCTCTCATAGAGTGGTCAACGACTGGAACTCCTTACCTGATTCAGTAGTAACAGCTCCATCGGTGAACGCTTTCAAAGAGAAGTTAGATCTCTGCAGAGATATATTTTGCAAGGATTAACACAGGCCACAAGAGCCTTCTATCCTTATCAACTGAATCTGAATCTGAATCTGAATTACAATACGAATAAGTGACCTTCAAGCGCTGTAATCCGTTTGTGCCTCCATCCTCTGTTGTACCGCTATCCATTGCTGTTGTGAGTCTATTATGTATTCCCATTAATATGTCTGATAGTTCTATGCAAGTTAGATTAATTTGTCTTATTTGCTTGTAAAAATTCCAATTTAAAAACTTAGCCTGCGGAAATATATGGATAAGCTCCGAAAATCAGTTAAGTGCAGTCTCAATCGAGGTTTAAGGCCACAGTATTGGAGAGAGTTGGATAAACAGCATCTGTATACACAATTTGGGGTTTTATTTGTATATAGCAAGAGCTTACACTGTATACAGAAGTGGTAGTGGGAAACTTGTTGAACGACTTCTCCATACCTTACACATCACTTTAGAAAAATATTTCTGTTGTTACAGAGGTGCTCGAAAGTTCAGCTTATGGTTCATCTAATTTTTCCTTTTGACAACCTTATCGGGAGACGTCCTTGTACACGAGTTTGACTTGGCCACTGTTGTAGTTTCTAGACTATGCTATAACGTACCATCTTTGATGAACAAATTCACTCCATCCTGAGTAACCCGACTTGTGTGGATTCTTTTTATATTCCTCTGAAAGTGTAATATCAGTACGTGATTCATTAGTACTCTTATATTAAGAATAGATTGAGTTTTTAATTCACTGACAAACGTGATAAACTCTACTGTCAAATTCATAAGGGGGAATAAGTGTACGGAGACGTAGTTGCCAATCCATGGTTGTGTGTACCACGTTGCGATGAGCTCTGTCCTTTATTACTTGGAGATTTTGCTGTTGAAATCGGAAGACTTTAAGAGCCTGTCTCTGACCACAGGTATTTGCATTCTTTCCCTCATGCTAATTGGTATAATATAATGAGTAATATTGAGACCAGACGTAGCTATGGCTAAAGAGGGTAAGTCAGTCCATAAGGTTGTAAAGCTTCAGCTAGGAAACGCGGTCCTCATACCAAGCAGTTGTTTTCCTCGTCCAGCAGTGTTAGCTGACATTATAATGTTGGAGAAGTGTTAGGAGTGGTTAAGTCCGAGTATGGCGTCACTCTATGAAGTCCTTGACTATTGGTTTGGACCATGTAGAAAGGTTTAGAGTGCTTGGTTGAGGTCTTCAAGACGCTGAGAAGCAATGAATTTAGAGTGTTGGTGATATGACTCAAAATTGTTCTCATTGGCGCAGATGCATTCATTCTTTGTGATATCCGAGATCCACTAGATCCTCATTTTTCTCCATGCAGTTATTCTTTCGCCTATACATCCCCGTTAACTATATTTCTTTCGAATTCTTTTCTGTACCTTTGTGTGCTATTTGAAGTGTGGTAAATAGGACTGTTATACTTCTCTTTATAGTTCTACTTTGAAAACTCAATGAGTCAGCCATTTTAGTGTCAAAGGCGTATGTGACTCTTAAGGATGGGTTAATGTTAAAACTGTTCTTGTTAAAAAGAGTGCACACTGTAGGTTAGGAGAAATAACTTCTAGAATACCGTCTGTACACCCTGTTAGTTTGAGTTCAAACTTTACATTATTATCATACTTGTATCTCAAACATTTCACAGCACTGTATAGTATTTACGAGGTGATTTATTCGTGACTGGTACACCAACAGGTAGTGTAAACAGATGCGGAATGTAAAATGGATAAACACCAGCACTGAATTTTCCACAGAAGTGCATCATTTCAAGTCTCCATACTTCGTAAAAGCAGAAAAAAGTTCAATGAAACCACAATAGGAGAAAACGTACAGGAGAAAAAGTAACTAGGTGAAGAAGTATGGGGATTAAATGAATGTAGAGGGGATACATCTGCGCCATTGTTAACAGTTTTGAGTCATTTCACCTACAGTCTCCAACTATTGGTCTTTAACATCTCGAGAATCCCAGCCAAACAATATACATGGCTGATACCATGCGTGGCGCATTCTAGCCAACCGAATCAATGCAGCTTCCCAGCCTAGCCTTATTATTACTGATAATTCCCCACCATCTTTGGAGAAATGTTCTTTTGGTTTAAGTCGACTCTCAGACAAAGGGTTCCTGGTTCGAGTCTCACTCCACTTCACCGCCTTAATATGATTACGCGCAATAAAATGTCTTCGAAATGTCATCAGCAAATAATACTTCGTCACTATGCTTTTTGCCCAGTGAAATCAATCTATGATGGAATTAGCCCCCTTCATCTAAAAGCTGAACACGAAGATTTTACAACTACTTTCTAACTCTATTCTATTCTAACCGAAAAATCTAACACCCGTAAGGTGAATTTCTCAGATTTGCCGTGTTGGCCAGGTGGGGTTAACTGAGTAACCATACTTGGGTCTTGTAATGCCTGTCTCTGAAATGCAATATACATGCATGGCTCGAGATGCCAGAGTTCTGACTGGTGATGTTTGTTGTCCGATTTGGCAGAAGCTCCTGACGTTAAATGCCCCAATATGAAGTAGGTAATGTCGCTTTAAGAGACCATCAGTTTGTTTCCGGCTGTCCCCGCTGTTATTGGTTGTAGAGTGAGGAAAAGATGGAAGACCTGCCTGTTGAATATTATTAACTGTAGGATGAAAGCGAGATGACGGTAACGTAGATAAAGTGTATGATGATGAGTAGAGCTTTGTGTACTTCGGGAAGTATGTGGGTAATTGTTACTTCCCGGGCTCCCACACTGTGGAAATAGATTTTTCTTGGGATACCTGAAGCATAAAGAGAATTAGTGTTGCGTGACCGCAGAGCCCAGGGAACAGCTGCTTGAGGCTGGTCACACACGGCCTGTTTGAACTGGTTATTAGAGTTGTGTCCATATTAAGAACTTACCGCCGTAGAGTAAGTCAGGAGGTCGACCTTTTCTAACCCCTTCTCCAGAGTGGTGAGGCAGCATAACTGGCATTCCAGTCTTCTGATGGAAGCGCCTTACTGCTGTTACATCCCTGTTCCCCGACAGTACAACTTAGCCCACAGACCCCTAGCACAGTATAAACATCTTAAACTATGCTGCTAACTTCTTTTTGTCTAATCGCCATCCTAACAACGATTCTGGCATGGTAGGTCTTCTGGGAACATTAGTTCCAGCCAGTGTAGCTCGTTGGTTCATTGGGATATGCAAGCTGAACCACCATGTCAAGATAGCAGCTATCGGTCTAGTCTGTTGCCTTCTCATAGCCGGCACTGGAGTCGGCTATCAAAATCTGTCGAATCTATCTGTAAATATTCCCAGCTCCTAGTCAACTTAATCAGTAGGTCTACCTCTGATTGCTTGTAATGTAACTTCGTTACTCCGCAATGACATACTGGTTACTAGTGTTCCGTTCGCAGCTACTAGACATCCTACAATGAAATTAGCCGAGGGTCGTATAGCAAATATTTAAAAGGATATCGTATCTTACATTCGGATTGCTAAAGAATATTTGTTATTAATGAGGAAACAATATCTTGAAAATACGAGAGATGTGGAAATTGTCTACGACGCTGATCTACGGCTCATAGTTAGTACAACTCGGTATTATCTGTCGAGTAAATTAAACTGGTAGTTTTTTTTAAATTCATGAAAAATCCCCATTCGAACATTAATAGACAGAAGACCAGTAGTTCAGCGAAGAATCTCTTTTCGGCGAATTCATTTTCATAGCTGTACAATCGCAAATATATATGGTTGTTTTGTATGTGTGTGTGTGTACATTAAATTTGCCAAACGAAAATACAATTAGTAAGTTCAGATGAATTGGATGTTGATATAAGAGGGTAGTAACAGTAGTGATGAGTTGTCACAAACGATTGTTAAAGAAGAGTTACGTAATAACACGAATAGTTTGATCAAAGAGTTGTGCTCAGGGTGTACATAGAAACAAAATAACATACGGAATTACGCAAGAGTTTTAAGTAGTTAGAAAAATAAGCATTCAAGATGATGGTGTCGTGAACAGTTTAAATATAGTATGCCGAATCAAATTCATTAATTTTATCCAGGAGCTTCAACAGAAACCATCTGCGAATTTTTATAGAACTCCTTCGAAATCCCTGACGAAGGAGAAAATATATGACGTCTTCCCAGATAATCCTGAGGAGTTTGTGTATAACCTGTCGAGTTTGAATTTAAGCCGCATTGAAATGGAAGCGCTTTCCCTCGGATTTAACTTCCATATCCCGAATAACTTTGTCAAAAGAACCGATGTCGCAGCTCGATTCGAAAACCTTTTCTATCAGCTGAATGACCTTACCCCAGTTGATGAGGACAAGAAGAGCTGGTTCAAATCTAAGCTGGTTGACGTTGCAAATCAATACCTCATTTCTCCAATGTCATATTCCAAAGTCCTTTCTGATGAGCATCAAAGAGCATTGAAAGCTCTCAAGAATAGTGACAGAATTGTTATATTGCGACCTGACAAAGGCTCAGGATAGAGAGAACTACATTGCAAAGATGAAAGCTGTGTTAAATGACCCGTTGAGGTTCAAAGTTGACAATTGCCAGAAAGATAAGACTGATGCAGTCGAAAAACGTATCACAAACTCACTGAAAGATCTTCTAAAGAGGAAATTGATTGACAACAATACGTACAATGATTTGAAACCGCGAGGGTCCCGCTTGCCACACATGTATGGCGTTCCGAAGATACACAAAAAACAAGTCCCCCTGAGACCCATACTTTCGATGATCAACTCGCCCCAACATAAGATGGCACGTTGGCTTGCAGAGAAGTTGGAACCTATTCGTCAACGGTTAGGCGTGCACACTATGAGGGACTCATTTCATTTCTCGGAAAGTGTGAACCACATGAACGTTTTAAATAAGTTCATGGTGTCATTTGATGTAACCTCCTTGTTCACAATGATTCCAATCAACGAAACTATTGAGATCATTTGTCAGCAGTCTGATCTTCTCCCACTCCCAGAGTCGGAATTCAAACGCCTACTCCTTATGTGTACCATGGATGTGCAATTCCAATTTGACAACACTCTTTACCGCCAAATAGATGGTGTAGCTAT